AGCCCTTTGTCCTCTTGATGGTCTTGTTTAGAACCATACGGATGCTCTGCAGGTTCTTTGCGCTAAGGTACCTCATAGACGAAAGATGTATAACATCTTGGTTGATGTATTTCCAGCTTTGGACTGCTTCCAGCATTCAACACCATCGTCTTCAACACATGCCATGTTACAGTTCACCGGGATCCCCTTCGTTCGTTCGGGGGTCGACCTCCGAGGACGGCACAGATGGATTCTTCGAGCCCCTTCGAGGAGCGGGGACCGACCGGCTAGACCCGAGCGGTTTTTGTTCTAGAGACGGTCAGAGGGAGGAGTTTGTGCGACCGGTTTGGAGTGCCAAAAGTTGAAGGCAGCCTATCGTTCAAACCTCTCGGTGCATCGTGAGCGTCTCCAAAAAGTTTGGCGTAAAGACACTCGCCTTCTTCGCAACGACCGAAACGCTGGAATCTGAGGATTTGGAGAGTCTTTTTGATGGGCATTTGGCTGAGGGAGAGCCTTGGTTTTCTATTCTGAGAGGTGCCGGGAGACTTTATACACCGTGATACACTTGATTACACTTGTAATTACGGGAATTTGGTGGAGCTTTCCATAGGCTTTGGGTTCGAAAACAAGGCTGGTGCATGATGCAAATCCAGGCAATTCATCGGCCCTTTTAAGGTCTGACAGATTCCTTTACAAATTGATTGGTGGATTCCGGCAGAATGGGGCCCTTTTCAAACCACCCAAGCAAGCCCAACACGAGGTCGGATCTGGGAACACGAGGGCTCCCATGTCCAGAGGCTCCCTTCCATCGTTTCGGAAGCAAACTTTCAGGGTCAGAAAAAGCATTGCTCCATTCGTAGCGTCCTTGTTCCTAGTAGTATGGCTTGGAGCCCCTAGTAGCGTCCGAACGCTCCTAGTTGTAATTTTTGGGGGTATAGTACATGGTTTTTGTTTTTAGCCCGCTACTGCTACTATACTGAATCAAGTCAGGTGCCTAAATGATTGAGGGAGGAGTAAGCCAATCGGAGAAGTTCGCTCCTAGCTAGGATACAGGATAGCTCACGCTTCCTCAAGGAACAAAGAAGTGCTCGCACTAATGATTTGGTTCCGAGATTTGTAGGGAAACTTATTGTTTTGTCTTTTGATTGTGCAAATTTACAGTGTTTCTTATTCTTTTGTGTTGCTTCCTCTGCACTAAGGACCTGCTACTGGCGGTGACCTTGGCACAGCTCAAATCTCCCCAGCGCCGCGTGCGCAGCAGCACCCTGACAGCAAGCACGGTGGAGGTGCCCCACCAGTGGCAGCGGCTGCGTTTGCGGCTTGGCAAACTAAGGAGCTAGTAGTAACAAGTGCCACGCTACTAGTAACAAGTGCCTTGCTAGTAGTAACAAAAAGCTATTAATGAACGTAACAAAGAGCATCGCTACTAATTAGGAGCGATCGAACGCCACGAAGGGAGAGTTTCCTTGGGTCGTGGGTCGAAGGGTCGTGCGTGTTCAACTCCGACCCACGATCCCGTGAAGTCAGGTGTTTTCGGAGAAAGCCATGGCAAAATGGTAGAAGTACACAGTACACGTGGGTATTTGCAGAAGAAACATACAGAACACCACCGTACCAGTGCCTTACCAGGGAATACGATGGAGCACTTCAATGTCACCCAGTGCTACGGAACCACGGACGGTCGGAGGGTCCGATCCAAGGAAGGTGCTGGATGGTGCCGGTAGACTCTTGATTCATTAAACAATTATATAACTTAGATGAAAAGGTTTTGCAATCCAACTGAGGGCGTTGCTTTTTATTAAAACAAGAACATGCATGACCATGGAGTTTCGATCCAGGTGTGGTGGATCAAAGCTCCTCAAATCATGCGACTTTCAGGATCAATGAGCATTTCCAGAGATCGACTGGTTGTACCACCACTGAAGGCCACCTTTGGAAACTCCACACTCAACCCACTGTCGAGTTGTTGAAAGAATTGTTGGATGGTTTACCACCGGTCCGGGTTGGACACCCAACGTCTTCCGCACCACCTAGCGCTGGGCACACCGTCTTTCTGCGTTGCGCAGCTCATTTATGTCCTTCCAGCACCTCACTCTTGACCGGAACGCTCAGTGTTCTGTAAATTTGTTGAGGGACTTCTTGGGCCAGCTTTGGAAAAGCTGGTTTCTGTTAGAAAACTCAAGTCTGGAACCTGCTATCAGAGGCAGCCCTCACCTTCCAAAGCCAAGCCGAAGAGGCCATAAACAGCAGGGCACCTGCTTATAAACCATGAAGCAAAGCACATGCCTCAAAAACATATTTAAAGGCAGTGACGGAAATTTCTCCAAACAATCGCCGGAAGGGTAGGGCTATTCCCAGGCTTCTGGGCGCCTTGTCCTTGAAGTACCGCGCGCGCCACGAGTCCTGCTGTGTGTCGCTGGAGCATCGCGAGCTCCGAAACGTCTCCACCGAGCTCTTTCTGCTGGGCAGCAGCGTGCGGCTGAAGCAGCTGCTGGAGAAGGTGGGGATTTCTTGGAGCGATCAAGACAAAGGTTAGGGAGAAGCCACCAAACATCACCAAACCAATAGTTTGTTTGTTTTTTCTATAGTTGTTGAGAGGATAACTCTATTTAGGCATCTGCGATATGGAATGTTGATTGAAACACCAGATTCGTGAGTGAAAGAACGAGCATATGTAGTAGTATCTAGCTGCTATGTTGGAGTGTCTCTTCCGGGAGTTGCTAGCTAGTGCATCCAAGCACTCATTAGCTTCTTGCTCCTAGTAGTAAGGCCAGGAGCCCCCATGGAACCATTTGGGCTGCATAGGCCAGATTCTTTTCTCGCAATCCATGTGGGGTTTACGGGTTTGGCTCAAGGAGTCAATGTAGGTAATCCAATGCTCCACATATTATTATTTGGGTATACCGTGTTTGTACATAGTAACTGTTCAGATGGACCTATGACGAGGAGCTACTCTATATGCTACCATCTTCTATACTTGATGGTGGTCTTAATGGGATCACCTGCATTGGATTTGTCATGATTTGTCTATTTTCGGTGCCAGGAGCTTGAACGAGTCCGACTGTGAGAAAGGCGAGCGTTCTCGTTCTCAGCGACGTTGGGGATCGACATGGAGACGCATTCAGTTGAGAATGTGGAAGGATGGTTTTTTGAAATGCTTCACAGGTTGCTTGAGTTCGGAGGTATATACCAGTTGCTGCCAGCCAAGAGCTGTAGTGACATTCACAGACAGTGGAGCGATAGCTTACTTGATCATTCAACAAAAGGAAAAACACACATCAGCATGCAGTATAGTTAAATCATATGCCAATTAGATTCCTGAAATCATCAACCCACATTAGCTGCACCGCACTTGAGAACAGTCTTCATTGCTTCATTGTACCATTTTGAGTGCTACTAGTATAGTTTTGGACAGCATGCCTCGGTCCGCAGGTTGCGCATGCCAGTCCACTTGGTGGTGAAAAGCCGAACGGATCCTCAGCCAACGGTCACCACCGGTCAGCCGGCGGAAACCCATCCAGTGAAACTGGGACTTGGAAGGCTGACGCGAGGAGACTTCAGCTTTGGGTCAATGTAGGTACAGATTTTATGGACTTTTTTGGTCAGTATAATCATGACCTACATGTAAATACGTGTATATATATATATTATGTGTATCATCAACCCTTTCAAGATGAGAGCATTTCGTTGTTCCACTGCTTTTGCCTCCACGGAACCGCTGAAGTTGACCGGACCACGGAACGCGCGTGGACTCGGTGGGACCCCACGCCCGTCCCGCTCCATGAAGACGAAGACGAGCAGTCGGTCTGGACCAAAACCGAGCGGCAATGAGCGCCACACCGCGAGACATCGGATGATCTGGGACAAAAGAACTTGAGTCTGTTTGAAGCGCTGCGCCCTGCTGTTTGTGAAGCCTGCGTCCCAGTTGGAACCCGTAAGAGATAGAGAAAAGTGCTTACTAACCATCATCATCCACAGCCGGGATATACCTAAGCGATGTCCAGTTGATCCCATGACCTGTCGGACTGGGCACCCGCAACATCGGTTTATGGGGTTGATGCCCGTGCAGAACAACTGCATGTAGGTGTCAAAATGTTTCAAGCTACCATCGTCGTCATCATCATCATGATCATGCACACATGTTTGACTATTGTTCATGTGTCACCGATGTGCCTAGATTCCCAATGAATCCGTGCAAATACTCCCGCTGTTGTTGTATTTGTGTTTCTCAGTGGTTCAGAGGCAGCTGCCAGCAGTGCTCTCAGCTTCCTGCTGCTCCCTTCGCAGTACATGTCCTTCTGTTTTGTGCTTGGTTCATGACTGATCATGTCGCCTGCCTACCTGTTCATGGTTGATTCAGGCCACCTAGGATGCCCCCCAAAGATGTTTCTTGTTCGTGTTGAGTGCTGGTAGGTCCTAGTGTGTGAGATAGACGGTGGCTTTAATGATGAATCACCGGATCATTCGTCCGAGTATGAGTGAACATGTGTCCCTCCTCTTATTGGGGGTGTCTCTGTCTCAAGGTCGACTCTCTCGCTCTAGTCATACCCTATGACAAATAAACTACTGTGCTATACTTTGCAAGTAGCGTCCTTGCTCCTAGTAGCGATGCCCTCTGCTCCTAGTAGCGAATTGCTATTCTTTGCTGCTTTGGAGGCCGAAATTTGAGATCCAAATCATTCCCTCAGACGACAAGCTCAGTTGGTCGTCGAAATTTGGGGGTCATTTTGTAGGTGCAGTTGATTCGGACTAGATGTCACACACTCTTGATAATTATGTTTGATTATTTCATATTCTTTCGATATATGGAGTCTTATGGGTCCTCATCAAGAAATCATCCACAGAAGCTTGTACCATATCTTACTCCCAAACCATGAATCTTCCATGTCTCCTATAGGTCTTGACCATGCACCGCTCTTTGGACCAGTTTACCATCAACAGGAAAACCACGACCCCAGTGTTTTTTTTGTTTCCGCGATTCCCCTTCGCTGCTGAGACTTCGCACCGCGTTCAAACGGCAGGCAAGGCCTGATGCACTTCGGCACCAAGGCCGAGCAAGCCGAGCAGGTCGGCGGCCCCGGTGCGATCCGCAGAGGTCCCGGAGTGGCCGAAACCAGGTCCGGATCGGTGTCCCTCCGATCCGCATCCACCCGGCGTCGGAGGTTCCATATGATAGTTTTCAAAGGTCAACGCTCCATCTTGTCAAGCTCCCTAGAAATGTAGGGATATTATGGGATATTATATATGGATATTGATCGATATTGCGTATCTAAAAGCATGTTGATCTACTCCTTTCTGAACAAACTTGAAGACTACCAGAGAGGCTGTGGTGGTCTTAGTCTTGAATGACCTCTACACGGGGTGGTCTACGAGTTTCTTTTATTCTGCGTTGGAGACAGATCTACAGGTTCATCCTTTCATTCTTTATACTGTACATGTTTATCCTGGGATTTGTGTTAAAAACTTAACAATAGTTTGGAGCCCAAACGAAGGGCTATTCTTGAGCAGTTGGAACTATATAATTCAGGCTAGATTGCAACAGCAATTGAGTTCGGCAGCTTTAGCAGTGGCACTCCTGGCCGACCCTTGGCCGGCGAGTCGTCGTTCGAGCGCCCCAAAGCGAACCCAGGGCGCACCCGCTTCTGACGTTTGGTCGCCTCCTCGTGAGGTGAGCGACGTTTCGCCCCGCCAGGTGGTGAACGAGATGGATGTGGGGCGAACAGGACAAGCAGGGAGGCTCAGGCTGAGGAGGCTCAGGCGAAATCATCCGGAATGAAGAGGGGTCGTTCTTTTTTGTCTATTTTGCTGATATCAGATGTCTTCTTCACTGTTCTTGTGCGAGTTAGCTTGAGCTCTTTGACCCGAGAAACGATCAAAACTACTGTCGATCTTGCTTTTCGGTTGCCCTCGCCCCTCATTATTCACCCCTCCCTCACCCTTCCCTTCCCCATGTCAGTGCGCGTGCCGGCCCCCACTCGTTGCCCCAACTTGGCCAAGGTCTCCTATACCGAGTTCCTGGCCGGTGTGATTAACTTGCGCTGCAAGACCCCGGAGGCGTTGAACTCCGGTCTAAGACAGCACAAAAAAAGAATAACTCCATGTGGGTCAATCCGCTGTGGTTCGGTTTTGGTGTTCGGGACTTTGGGAAAGCCACATGTTTCTTGGAATCAGGCTGGTTTACCTGGAGCCGGAGGTTTGGAATCACCGAAGCTATTGGTTCCCACCTCAAAGGGCTTTGAACTTGGTGCACATGGATTTTCTGGTCGAACCCGAAGTTTCCGGGTCTTGCGCGTCTCATTTTCCTCTCCTTTGGGCAATGCCTGACAGTCATCATCATGTCATCATCGTGTATCATCCATGCATCTGGGTATGTTTTTGCCAGATCCTCACGTCCAAGGCACGTCAAACACCTGAGAAGAAGGAATATGTTGACACATATGAATCTAAGAAAACGCACCCCTGGCAGTGTTTTTTTTCTCCTGAATACACGCCCCAAAAACGAAAACGACCCACATCCACACCCTATGACGGACCTCCAGGAGCAGGACCGGCTCTTGTCCATTGCCTGGGCGCAGTTCCGCCCCGACAGCAACGGAGAGGCCATGAAGAGAAGCCGGGGAGGAGCATCCCTACTAGTAGCAAAGGGCATCGCTACTAGGAGCAAGGACGCTACTAGGGGCTCCTGGCCTCGCTACTAGGAGCGTTCGGACGCTACTAGGGGCTCCTGGCCTCGCTACTAGGAACAAGGACGCTACTTGGAGCGGGGAGGAGCATGGCATCAGCGTGTTGGGCGTTTTGTTGGGGCACCAGCGGAAGGATTCGGTTGGAGGCCATTGCTAGTAGGTTGGAGGCTATCGCTATAATCTATTAGCAACTCAAAGAAACATGTACGTCGACTTAATTTCATTAGTTCGGAGGCCATCGCTATCAAAACCGGGGATGCTGAACTTTGTGAGGCCAGCGGTTTTCGCAGAGGTTTTTCACGCTCCCTCCCAGTGGAGTGGGTGTACCCGTACACATCCGTAGAATTCCGTAGATCTCCTCGTTTTACATTTTTAAAACCAAACTAGATATGAGAATATATCAGCTTGGCTTTATAGTATAATGCATCGTCCATCAATGGTCGACCATCACCAAACATGACGTCAACGTAGACCGCGTAGACCCACCAACACTCCTGATGGGCCCGGACGAGGGACAATCTTCGGACGCTTGCACGAGTTCGACCGAACGAGGCTGAGGCTTTGGTGAAAAAATGGTGCCTTTTGGGGGTTCCAAACATCCAAGGCCACAGGGAGGTCATGTCCAAGCCAATGTGGCCATGTCCATTGTAAGAAAAAATACGATGAGTCTGAGATGTTCAGGTTGTGAAAAAGAGACAAGTCCAAGAAAAACCGAGGAGTCTTGCTGGGAGAGTTCTCCCGAATACGCTGAATGAAGCTGAAATCAGAAGCTGTGGGCCCGCCATGTCAGTTGTGATGACCATGTCATCCACCAGTTTTTGGGTAGAAGCCCTGTGGCCCTCCTTCATCCCAGCTTTACCGCGACGATGTTTGAAGTGACAGGTGAAGGTGCAAGACATCCAGAATGCCTTGGCCACACGAGGAATGACCGATCGGAACCCTGGGGGAATCCTGCAAACCGGGCTCGGAGGAGGGTGAGAAGCAAACCTCAGCGGTCAAGGGCTGGGGCCTGGGGAAGTTTGCTCATCAGCTGGCGTGTATAGTTGGGCTTTTTCAGGGGGGCTGGCGCCCAGGAACAGACCGAAAACTGCGTCGATGCCGGTTCTTTGGGCACCAGAAAGGTAAGAAACACTGTAAATCGCATTGGTTCTTGTTCCAAGAAAAAAGCCTTGCAAATATCATGATGTGTCGCTTCCCGAAAAGCGTTGTAGATATGGGGAATTGTTGGCTTCAACATCGGTATTTACATTGACTCAATAAGTTTCTTGAGAATGGCCCTTTCTCATATGCCCAATTCCTGCACGCGCACGCAAACAACTGGGTGAGAAAGGTAAAGTCACAAACACACCCAGAGAGCTACCTGTGAATCAAGACCAAGCCGCGCGGTAATTAGTTATAGATGTTATAAGATGCTACAAGACACGTTGGGACACATCACAGGGAAACAAAGAGGACCGGACAAACGTGCACACTAATTGGAAAACTGATTTGATAGAGTCACAGGTTTCTTAAAGTTCTATGCACATGTTCCAATTTTAGACTTGCTCGACGGGTTTCTCCTTTTGCCAGTGGTTCCAAGACTCCAGGGTAGTTTAACACAGGCGTAGGGGTTCATGGTGGAATGCCCGATTTGACGGAAAGTGTTCGATACTATTGGTACGGCTTCTACTTCATGTCGGTGAGGCACATCACTCAGGAAGAGACTCGTTGCATTCTTTGACGGTATGCTTGGTGCGACAGTGAACTTGCCTGCGAACTGGCGGGACCAATGTGCCATCCATCCACATATATGGCAAAGAGAGCAATGAGGCCTTAATTGAGCTCGGACTGGGCGGATGGGACCTTTCAAGGGTTCTCGATCTGTGGCAACACCCTCATGCATTCAGCTCACAAGTTTCTTTCTCTCACACATCTATACATGGATGATGTTCTGGTGGCGATGCAACGGGACAGAGCTCTCAAAACGGAGAAGGCTTGCTTGCGGACCGAGTGAAATCGTTGCTGGGCTTCAGGAAGCATATTGTCTTGAACTGCATCCGGGTAAACAACACCGAAAGAGAATCCTTCTGCATCCTTTTGCAAGGTGCTAGTGACTAGTGCGGCTCAAGGTCTTCTTTGAAGCCATCAGATCTCGCCCTGAAACAGAGAGCTCAGATTGCCTGAGCCAAGGATCTTACAGAAGCTAGGGCGAATCACTTTGTGGTCTTTGCATCCAAATCCTTCGTGTCAGAGAGAGTGTTGATGCGGTCTACGCCAGCAGCACAGAAGAAGAGTGTACCCTCTTAGCATTCTTTTTGCAACGACAAGACCTTTGAGTTGACGAAGGGCCTCAGACAAAGTGGGTCTCTCGTGTGACAAAGTCTTGTGGACCGAGCTTGTTCCGGTTGCTTTGTCGTTTGTAAAGCGTTTTAGAGCAACAGGTTGCACATTACTAGTAGCTATAGAAGCTATACTAGTAACAATGGCATTACTACTAGTATAGATCTAGTAGCTAGAAACTGCTGGATCGCCATGTCCGGACAAACGATCAGTGTCCCATCCTCTCAAGGCAGGTCTTCACAAGGTACGAATTGAGGGTCGTGTTTGACCGCGGTTTGGGAATCCCCGGGACTTTGGGAATTGATCTTCGGAGTCGAAACGTCGAACGAATCCCAATCCACTTGTTTATTCAGGATCGACCATCAAATCCAGTTCCTAGAAAGCCGCCAGAAAGCCGGCTGGAAGAGCAAGCCAATCCTTTAAGCGAACCAACAAATCGACCCCAATTGAAATACCTGTCATTTCAATTCAACAAAACAATTCCTAAAAGGAAGAACAAACACATTAAAAAAAACAATCAAAAACGTTCAAAACGCCATGTTGCACCACGGTGAACCGAACGGGTGATCCTTCGAGGTCGCGGACATGCCCGATGGCTTCCTTGCCGCGCTGAACAAGGACCCGAAGGGACGGACGGTCCGTCCACGGCGCCTCGAGGGACCCTCCTGGCATCGCTACGAACGGAGCGTTCGGACGCTACGAACGGGGCTCCTGGCCTTACTAGGAACAAGGACGCTACTAGGAACAAGTGCATCGCTTCTAGTAACAAGTGCCTTACTAGTAGTAACAAGAAGCTACGAACGGGGCTCCTGGCCTTACTAGGAGCAAGAAGCTACTAGTACCTACCAAAGTTGTGACACGCTGAGACAGGATAGCCTTGGAACATGAGAGTCTCAATCAGCCACAGATGATCACGCGATAGATCGCACAAAGTTCTTTGCCTATTGTGAGCATTTGGATTCTCATCCTGGTTTCCTAACGGAACAAAAGCTGAATTGGAGGATTTGCATGCACTCTTCAGTCCCATTAACTGGCCTAATGGAGTTGCAAAAAGAACTCTCCCAAGAGCCTTTACATGGCACAGTGGAGTGTAGCTCGATGCCTGAAAAAAAAAGCAGCTGAAATCAACACCCCTCAATTAAAGTCATGGGTGGTCAGATATAGAGTTCTTCAGTAATGTGATATGTTCGCCAACCTGTGGTCTTGGAACAGAATCCGTTCTTCTCGGAGATAGAATTCAGAATCGTCGTCTACTCGGAGAGATCCATTGGCACCTGATGTTCGGGATTGGGAACGTTTGGGTTTTGAGAGTTCTATGTTCGGAAGACGGTCCTCGGTGAACTATATGGTGAACTCACAACCTCCATGCTTTGGAGTTCGGGCCCACAATGGACACCGTGGATGAATGGAGTGGCCCACAATGGGGTGACTGCGCCGTGCGTGATGGGAGTATGAACTTTCTGCAGCTTCTTGCTTCTATTTCAGTGGCTCAGGTATCCCTGTAGTAGACATAATATACTTTTTTTGTTTTCCGGTCACCGGTCCGGCCGGGTCACGGTCCGATCTCCGGTCCGGTCTGCGGCCCGGTCTCCGGCAAGTTGGAATGACCACTTCTTTATCTAAATTTTACCCCTGCATTGCCCACAGAAAGGGGTGAGTCAAGTTGGAATGGCAACATCCTTCTCTAAATTTTCCCCCTGCATTGCCCACAAAAGGGTGAGTCAAGTTGGAATGACCACTTCCTTCTCTAGATTTAGCCCCTGCGTTGCCCACACAAAGGGGTGAGTCAAGTTGAAGTGGCAACATCCTTCTCTAGATTTTATCCTCGGGTGGCTCACCAAAGGGCGCGTCAACTTGGAAGGGCAACTTCCTTCTCTAAATTTTACCCTTGCATTTCCCACACAGGGGTGAGTCAAGTTGAAACGGCTACATCTTTCTCTAAATTCTACCCCTGCATGGCCCACAAAAGGGTGCGTCAAGTTGGAATGACCACTTCCTTGTCTAAAATTTACCCCTGCATTGCCCGCACAAAGGGGTGAATCAAGTTGAAAAGGCAACATCCTTCTCGAAATTCTACCCCTGCGTTGCCCTTGCATGGCCCACAAGGGTGGGTCAAGTTGAGGGCCACTTCCTTCTTAAATTTTTTCCCCTGCCTTGCTCACAGAAGGGTGAGTCAAGTTGAAATGGCAACATCCTTCTTTAACAAAAGGGGGAGTCAAGTTGGAGCTTCCTTCTCTAAATTTTACCCCTGCATTGCCCACATAAACGGGTGAGTCAAGTTGAAACAGTCCAGTTGAAATAACAAAATCCTTCTCTATAATTTACCCCTGCATTGCCCACGAAAGGGTGACTCAGGTTGGAATGACCACTTCCTTATCTAAAATTTACCCTTGCATTGCCCACATAAAGGGGTGAGTCAAGTTGAAATGGCAACCTCCTTTTCTAAATTTTACCCCTGCATGGCCCACCAAAGGGTGAGTCAACTTGGAAGGGCAACTTCCTTCTCTAAATTTGCCCTCGGGTGGCTTACCAAAGGGCGCGTCAACTTGGAAGGGCAACTCCCTTCTCTAAAATTTGCCCCTGCATTGCCCACTCAAAGGGCTCAGTCAAGTTGAAATGGCAACATCTTTCTCTTAATTTTACCCCTGCATTGCCGAATGACCACTTCCTTTTCTCAATTTTACTCTGCGTTGCCCACGCAAAGGTGTGAGTCAAGTTGAAATGGCAACATCCTTCTCTAAATTTTACCCCTGCATGGCCCACCAAAGGGTGAGTCAACTTGG